CATGGACTACGCGGAGCAGGCGGCCGAGGGCGCATCCCTGGCCACTTGGCGCTTCGAGGAGAATGTGTCCAAGAAGAACCGCACGATCCAGCCCAAGCTGGAGCTATTTGATTCGCCGGATATTGACAATTGGACGCGAGGCCTCTTCAAGGCGGAGGCCCAGAACATCTCGCGCCGACTCGCCGAGTCTCCGGCCAACTGCATGACACCCACCGCTGTGGCGCAGGCCGGCGTGGACTTCCTCTGCCCGTGCGGCATCACCGTGGAGGTGCGCACCATGGAGTGGATCGAGCAGCAGCAGCTGCACTCATTCCTCACGATTGCCAAGGGCAGCTGCGAGCCTCCCGTCGTCCTGGAGCTCGCCTACTGCGGCACCTCGCCCGAGGACAAGCCGATCCTGCTGGTGGGCCTCGGTCTGACCTTCAATTCGGGCGGCATCAATCTGCGTCCGTGCAAGGGCATGGATGAGTTCCGTGCCGATTTGAATGGAGCTGCTTCCATCCTGGCGACCATGCGAGCGGCTGCCGCACTGTCGCTGCCCATCAACATCACGGCCATCCTTCCTCTATGCGAGAACCTGCCCTCCGGCATGTCCGTGAAGCCGGGCGACGTGGTCACCCTCCTGAACGCCAAGAGCATGGCGATTCGCAATATCGACCGTGCTGGCGTGGTGGTCATTGCGGATCCCATGATCTATGGACAGACGACTTACAAGCCCCGTCTGGTGGTCGACATTGGATCCATGTGCAAGGGCGTCAAGAAGGCCGTCGGCGGCGGCGCTACGGGCATCTGGTCCAATTCGCACTACGTCTGGAAGCAGTTCCAGAAGGCTGGATCGCTAACCGGAGATCGATTGTGGCGTTTCCCGCTGTGGGAGTTCTACAGGCGCCGTGTGGCAAATCACCTAAGCTTTGATCTGACCAACGATGGTGATGGCCTGGCCTCATCTTGCCTGGCGGCCGCCGTTCTCCACGAGCTGGTCCCCTGCGCCGATTGGGCGCATCTGGACACCTCTGGCACTGGGCTAATGTCGACTTACGGCCTGGTGCCGTATCTCCGAGCGGGCCAAATGACAGGACGTCCGACCCGCACTTTGGTGCAATTTCTGTACCAGTTGGCGTGTCCCGGCGATTAGTGCGGTTCTACACAAGCATATATTTTTTATCACTGTTTCATTGTTAATTGTTTCTGACAAGACAACACACCCACACACACACGCACACACACACACACCCACACATGCAGCGAAACAAATGCAACAGGGCAACAGCAGCATCATCAGAACAAAATTTGAAGGGGTCCAAACAACAAACAGAATTTCGATGTACTAGTAAATTATAGAATGTTTTGGCCTAAACAAAAATTACAATGTATTATCTGAGGGGAGTGTTTGGGTAGGGCATAGAATCTGTGATTCATTTATTCGCTGTAGCTAAAAAGGAGAGGCCTCGTAGGTAGTATCCCATTCAAAGAAAAGATACATAAACTCATTATCAAGTAAATATGTTAAACCGATTAGAGGCGATCGGAAACCCCATTTTCATGCTGATATCTCTGAAATTGTTTCTCCAAGGAATAATATTTATACTGCCTTACTTATTAATTTTTTAAATATTATTAATCTATGATTTATTTATCATAATACACCTTTTTATTCGCCGTTGTGCTTTAAAAGAGATTGGCAATTCAGTTGCGATTCAGTCTCTCAAATATTCCCTCCAGAAATCAACGAAAATGCGGAATACAACTCTGATTGTCTACATTTTTCGCTGATTTCTGTGGTGACCTCGGAAGTGACATGTCCAAGTGGTCTATGGTGCATTTTAGCATAATTTAATTGTATTTCTTATAGCTCTGTTCGATATCCAGTGATTTTGAAGATCCGTGCGGTGACGTTTGCTATCCAACAATGCTTCGAAAGGACAGAACCCGAGACCAGGATTATGAGATCATCAAATGGAAAAGTGCCGTCGCTAAAGAAAAGTCCCTGTGGACAAAACAGTACACTTAAACAGGCCATCGACGCTATGATCAAAATCAAGTTAGAGTTAAGTTACGAACTGCAGAAGCTCCAATCTATATCCAACGAAATCATATAACAATAAAGAGAATATACATATATTTGCTGATCGATTCCTTATCCCCAAGAAACAATTCCTCTTTCGAATCTGGCACAAGGAACAAGATGAATTGCAATACCCAAGAAAGATTCATTCCCCGCACGAGTGGGGACAACACCCAGCTGTCAGGGCTGGGCCATCAGTCAGTCAGTCAGTCAGTCAGACCTCCTGCATGTCCCTCATTCAGTCATGGCTTCAGGGCTGGCTGCTGCTGCTGTCCCCCATCCCTGGCAGACTGTCAACGGCTCTGTGCTGGCTGTGTGTGTGTGTGTGTTTGCGAAAGCTTTTGAATTTATATGCCAGTGTCAGTTGTCAATCACATTTGCAAACTGTCACACATGCGAGCGCCCGCGCTCACCGGAAACAGCACAGCGGCAACATATTAATCTTTGCCAACAAGAAGGATACCTACCCCTCCCGCCCACATGGGCGCCCCACCACTCGGGCACCCTGGAAAACCTTGAGAGGGAGAGAGAGGGGGGCAGAGGCAGAGGCGTTGCCGCGGAAACAGGAAGAAGAACGCGCGCAGACGTTGGGTTGACAGGCATAAGTAATGCAAAAAAATTACTTTATAATGGAGTGCGAAAATGAAAATTGCTGCAACCAAAAACCAAAAGAAAATAAACAGAGATCGGTGAGTGGGGGAGGAGCTCTTTTCATGAATGCTGCAAGCAATTTGAGGTAAGATAATCATGGGGCTAGAGTCGGCGGCCCCCCACAAAAGATTGTGCTCTCACATTTCATATGCACACTCGGAAAAATAATATAATTTTTGGTCTTTAAGTATCTGCAATTCTATTGGATTTCTATACCTAAAGAGATTCTCATTAAAGTAGTCCTTGAAGTATCCTTCTAAAGAAAACAGATCAAAAAGTTCTTTAAACTATAAAAAAAAGCGGGTCCCATGGGTATTTGTTTAAATATTGTTCAAAGATGAGTATCGATGGGTGTTGAATATCGAATACCGATCAAATTGTTCAGGAATACGAATGCAACTGCTATCGATCAAAGATATCCTTCAAATAACGCGCTCATGTAGGACCTAGCCTGGTTTTAAGCATATGATTTTGAAACTTTGAGTACTCCAGTTTTTGGCGAGTGCAAGAAACCTGGACATGGTGCAGCCACACGAGTGATGGCAACATGTTGCTGCTGCTGCTGTTGCTATTGCTGCACGCTTCATGTGGCTGCTGCTGCCGGGCGTTGAGTGTCAGGAGCAATACTTTGTCGCTGGACTGACTGTTGACTGTCAACTGTTTTTCTCTTTCTTTTTTTTTTGTGTGAGAGTGTAAGGGGCGTAAGCATTTCAAATGCGATGCGCTGACACCTCCTGCAACAGCCACAGGAACGGCAACAGCACAGACACATGGGTGTCCCGTTCCGTTCCGTTCCGTTCAGTCCCGTCCCGCCCACTGGTTCCACCACGCCCCCACACACAGCTGACAGCCTTCTGACAGTTTCTGTTGTTCACGCGAGTAATTCATTTTATGCTGCCGCTGGTGTGGCACAGCCCCGACACAGCTCTGGCTCTGGCTCTGGCTCCTGCTGCCACTGCCACTGCCACTGCTGTTGCTGCTGTCACCTCGTTGCTTCATTTCGCATCACAAAAATGCCAAGCAAAGCGACGCCCGTTGACATGTGAGAGACGACAACGTACGATGAGGCAGCAGCAGCAGCAGCAGCGGCGCACTGCCAGGACATGCTGCCAACGGAGCAAAAGAAAGAGCGAGAGCGAGAGAGAGAGAGGGCAAAAAGGTAGACAGAGACGGGGCCCAAAAGGGAGAGAGCGAGAATGAGACAGAAAGGCCCATGAAACGTCCCGGTGACAAGTGACAGTTAAGTTGATGTTGCCTCTCTGCTGTTGGATGTAGCTGCCTCTGCCTCTGCTGCTGTTGCTGCCTCTGCTGGTGCTTCCCGGCAACGTAATTCATTTTGCATGTGCGTGCAACATTTTCAAGCGTATTTATTACGTAAATTAACAGCCAGCCACGGAGGTTTGTTCCACAAAACCGAACTGAAAGATACTCTTGGAAAAAGGGAAAACCCAAACCGAATATTTTTGAGGAACACGTGCCGCGACCTCTAGATACTTGATCTGCTCGGCCACGTGTTCAAAGATCCAAACGATAGATAGGTTTGGCCTTCAACTTTATTCCGGATGTGATAGAAAATATAGTCGGTAATCTTAAGCGATTAATCGATTGATATAGATTCGAGTCCCCAAAGCAGTATCGCCTTTTCTATGCCTATCCTCTAAAAGGGTATTTCGATGATGAGGAGAGGACTAAAGGCCCAAGGAGAACGGTTGGGAGGACAACTACACCGACGACGACGACGACGACAGCAGGATGTTCATGACGCAGCGGAAATAAATTTTGCGTGAACAATACAAAGCATTACACTGCAGGTTAGGTTAGTTTTATACACCCCATGACAGAGGAGGAGAGAAAGAGAGGAGGTTGGCGAAATTAATGGCAGGCCAAAGCAGCTGACAGGCGAAGAAGGAAGCAGCAGAAAGGGAGAAAAAGACAGAGAGAGAGAGAGAGAGAGGAGGCCACGCACACATGCTAATGAGCCGTCAGGAGTGACGGTGTGTGGGGGGGCAGGAGCTGGAGGGAACTGACAGGAAGTAACTGTCAGCCGAATGAAAGGAACGCCAAGTCGCGCTTTTGTGGCATGAACCTCCCATGGGTAAGGAGAGCGATGAAGTGTCCAGCTAATGGATGGAAGCAATCAAGGACTCAGACGACAGTACAAAGGACTAAAGAGATTCCATATTTGTGGACACACTAGGCGAACAAATTTCATAATCGATATATCTATGAGATTTCTGAACATTCAGTTGAGTGAAATTTTTGCACTAGAGAGTGTACTACATTAGATTTCCAAAATGGAACAAATTGAAGACGCACAACGACTTGTGTCCGATCCACGGCAGGATCAAGAGGCTGGGAACAGCATTTGGACCACTTTCTACAATATTTTCCACACCTGGAAGGACTATCTTCTCCAGCTGATCCAGGGCCAACAGTATTCACGTTGGGCTCCATTGGACTATAGTCTGGCGATCTATCGAAAGATGATGGGCTGGGACGAGGCGTACGTTCGTTGCATTATCCTTCACCCAACCAGCGTGCAAAAGGCGGTGGTCACCCACAAGGACGTTGTTCATGTGTTCGGCGTAGGTCCTACGGCACAGCTTCAGTCGGCGGAACAAGTAGATCTCTACTGTGGGGCCTTCCGTCCGTGCACGATCCACGAGCTTGCGGTGGGATGTGCTGCCGGAATCTTTATCTGGCGGCATGTCACGAATACGCTCTGGGACAAGCGAGTGCTGAGGCACGCAGCGCACATCCACGTCACGTCTGTACAGTGGAACGAGGACGGCAGTGTCCTGGTCAGTGCGGCCTTGGGAAGTAATCATATCATCGTCTGGGATCCGGAGAGTGGACAGACGATTCGATTTCTCCCCTCTTCGATTAGCTTTCTGCTGTACAGTCCCGACTTTCAGATGCTATTCGGCGCCTCCAGCGATTCGGGGGCTAGCGTCTGTTATGTGGATCGTAGGTCCTGGAAGCTGGAGCAAATCCTGGAGGGGCGACGAGTACAGACGGCCGCCTGGACAGCCTGCAGCACATATTTGCTGTTTGTCCAGAAGGACGACACAAATCTGTATGCCATTACCAGGAATTCGGAAGTAGACGTTTTCCTGAAGCCTCAGCTTTTCTGGGCCTTTGAGCTGGTGGCGAATCTACAAACAACAGCCGTTGCCGGCCAGGAGTTGTGCCGCAGCCAGCCCCATGCAATTGCTGTGGATCCATCGAACGTCTATCTGGCGGTCATCTACAAGAAGCAACCCTTTGTAGGGCTCTTCAAGCTGTGCATGGCCAGACATAAAAAACTAAGCATTTTAGGCCCGGAATACATTTATAGCGATGATAATCAGACTCTCCGCACAGGTATCTTTCCCAGCTGCATGTGCTTTGAACATGGCAAGAATGGCCAACGGAGCCTGGCCATTGCCTGGACTTCGGGACACTTTCAGTTGAAGAACCTTTAAGAAGAGATGACCGAACGACGGTGAGCATTGTCTGGTGTGTCTCCAATACACCGATTAATCATATATTGTTTTCAGCTTCTGAAGGATGATTTACGCACACACTGTTTCAAATATTATTTGAATAAAACACTACCAACAAGGCTGGTGAGCAATGCCAGGTGTATTGCCAACATATCAATTAATTATATATTTTTTTTGTAGCTTCTGAAGGAAGAGATTCACACACGATACGATATATATTGCTTACACATGTTGCTGTTGCTGTTTCGAATAAACTTCCATAAAACACTACCAACATTTCACTCTACTTACCACACTCCCAAAGATCCAACGATTATTGCACACATAAATCATTGATAGGCAACATTTTATAGTACAACTTTTCTGCTATGAAAATTTACACAGTGACGAACCCGTTCGTGGCCCAGGAAAATGCATTCAGTAAATGTATCAATTTACATGAAGCAACACTTAATTTGAAAATTATATGCAATAGGAAGTGCAATAAATTTATAGGCAATGTCGGCGAATCAAGAGAGAAAATGTACACTGCCGGAGATCGAGTTGGAGATGGGGAGACTCGCCATAAACTTGTTTACCAATTTGCTACCAGGCAAAAAACCCCCAACCACTGACCAGAGACCGAAGACCAAAGACCGAAGCGGTCTAGAGCAAGAGTGCCGTGCCTCGTAAATGTTTCTATCAATTTGAAGTGCGTCCCGTAAAATTTGTGAAATGTTGACCATATCGAAATAGGACCGTACCGCGACGACTACGACGACGACGACGACGATCCGTTTAATGTTACGCAAATTTATGTGATTTCCTTCTACACAAATTTAATTGATTATAAGCATCCACAATCCACTATTGAGGGAACTGGAAGTCGTCTTTATCTGTGTCTTGGTATTTATTGAATCGTTGCGGTTGCTCCGCACTTGGTAGCCCGAAAATATACGGCTAAAGTGGATTTTCATTGACCAACGAGATTGTCATGATAGTTACGAGTAATACTGTGTGTGTCATTAGCCTTAAACCGAAAGAGTGGGCTGTCTGTAAAGTAAGCTTTCAATACTTTGGAAAGTATCTATCTATTTGGGTCGTCGTCGTGCGATAAGAGCGAGTGAGCCGGGGGTTGCCGCACAAGCGGTGTCCTGTCTCTTGGTCTTTAAGGTCTCATTTTAGGTTCTGAACTCTTTATTCGTTCAATATTTCGCCCTCAAGCAACATCAAAGCTCTGGTATACCCACTTTGATTTCCCTAACATGCCTCAAGGCCAACTTATTATCAAAATCTCTTAGATTTGCTTTGATTTTTGATTGATTGAAATGTCACAAGGGATCTAAATAAGTGAGGTTACTTATTTGAGTTGCCATTTCAATCATATGACCCGACCCCCTGTTGAACCCAATTTCCCGCCCATAGCCACAAATTATATTTTTTTTTGCCGGACATTTTACCTGAAGAATAAAATATGCCTTTTTATAGAGGATTTTTCCCCCTCTCTGTGTGTGTGTTTTTTTTTCCTCCTTCGTTTGCTCTGTGTCTGTGTTTTGCGGTTGTCCTTTTTGCCTTTTGCCCCGCTCTGGAGCTCTGAAGCTCCGGACGGCCCGGCCTGCTTGTCATCGTTACTGTCTGCTTTCGGCAGGGATTTGTAATATTATGCTGTCAAGTCGAACATGCCCACTGACAGTTACCAACTGTCTCTGCCTCTCTGTGTCTCTGTGTGTCTTTCTGTGCTCTCTTTTCGCTTTGGGTTTGGGTTTTGGGTTGAGGTTCAGGTTCGCTTCAGTAGAGATGAGTGGAGAGTTGCTGTGGTGCGCTGTGGCGGTGGAGTGAAGTGGAAGTTTTCGGTTCGGTTGGACGCTTGACTTGAGTGTGTAAGCCGACAGTGGGTTATATTCGTACTTGTATTCGATAAAGGATCCCGGCAACTGACGGGCGGGTTTGCCAATTACACTTTTTGACGCCGTGCGGCAGTGGAAGGCGTTCCAGGGGTTCGTTATTTGGGGTTAAGATTGGGCACCAAAAGGGGGCGTCAACATCCTCGTTCGTTGGGCTTGGGTTTGGGTTTCGGTTTGATGCTAACAAATAATGACATGGCAATTTGCAGATTTCACAGCATGCCCCCCCATGACTCTCATAGAAGAGTACTCTCGTCGTGTATATCTGCCACTTGAGGCCCCGCACAAAGTCAATTCCCCCACAACGTTGTTGTTTAGCTGTTGGGCGTATAGCAATCCGTAGGATACTCCAGGGCTGCCTCGTATCAGTGACAAGTCCAAGGTGGAGAGGATGAGTGGACCAGACCGCCTGCCAGTGTCAGTTAGCTCTCCGTCTCCGTCCCGCAGTTCCCTCTCTCTCCTGCTGTGATGTGCTGTGCAGCCAAATCAATTCGTCCACAACGTTTTTGGGTTAAAAAGCTTGACAGCGGCAGCCAGCAGCCAGCAACCCGCAGACCCTCGATCCTGGCAGCAGCTGGTGGTCCGATGTCCTGGTCTCACAGTTGAATGACTGTGTAAGTGCGGAGTAACTGAAGGAGACCGCCTGCCAAGCTGCTTGTCAAAATTGTCACTGGCCGTAGGACCATTTGGTGGCAGTTGTTGTCGCTTTGCGGATACCCTGCATTCAAAGATTGATGGAGATTTTCCCTTTTAGAAACCAACCGAAAAAAAAAACATCATTATTATCATCATCAAAACAATTTCATGCAACACTTCAGAGACACAGATACAGCTATAGATACACCAGGCACCAGAGATACAGGAGATACAAATCTACAGAAACGGCTACGAGTGGCTTTCAGCGTTGGCGTTGCATAAATTAAATGTAATGTGACATTTTTACAAAATGCACTCATTTCTCAAACATATTCGGAGAGCTCTCTGACAGACAGACAGGCAGACAGGCAGAAAGAAGAACAGAAGTACCGTGAGCATTTTTTGACCGAAATGAGACGCATAAATTTTCATATACTCGCATGTATGAGCCGGGCGAAATATTTCGCCTTAAATTAGCCTCAATTAAATGTTAATGCATTTCGACATTTCTGCTGTCGCTGGGTCCCCCCCCCCGGTACCCGCCAAAGGAAAATATGAATTATGATTCTGTATATATATATCTTTTGGGGTCCTCTCGCTCGCTCGCTTTGCCCTCTGCTCATGTATCTGTAAGATGCACAGAGCAATTAGCGTTGATGTAGCCGCAGCAGCTGCGTCTCCATTTATCTTCTTGACTCTGGTGCTCTGGTCTCTGTTTCTCTGTTTCTCTGTTCTTTCTGGTGCCTGTGAGGAGTGCCTCACAGTTGCTTTAGTTTATATTTTATGGCATGACATTTTGTTGGCAAATATGTAAATGACTTAATGACTGAAAGCCAACAGAAGGTGCTGCTGCCCGGGCTCTTTGCTCTTTTGTACGTTTTACTTGTTTCCTTTTGGGTGACGAAAGGGGTTTTTAGCTCGAGAAATGGGACATATTTTAAAGGGAATATCATATGAATACACAGCAGAATTCTATGAAATTTTATTACCTTATTACCTCCCCTCGGTCTGCAAGGGCTGTGATCATCCCTAGAGAGATTATACATTTTAGGATTACAATCGCTTCTAGAAGATGATTAAGTATCCATGGTCTATGGCCATTTACAAGTATATTTCCTTCCCTTCATAGTTATTTTTTTATTTTTTATCACAAATCAAAGTTAAAATCTGTTGTTGTCTTCGTCTCCTCCTATCGCCCCATCAAATACATGTCTTAATCCATCTCTGACAACTGTCTGACTGCCTGCCTGCCAGCTTGTCTGTCTGCCTATCATTTTCAATCTGAAGGAATACTATTTTTAATGTACATATCACTGTATACGACGGGGGCATTATCAGTTCGTTTATGAATAAAAATTAACCTTGTCGCACGTGAACAAACTTTGCAGATTGCGTCAAATGTACAAGCACTTGGATTATCTATCTTTCTACAAAAACATGTGCTTGTGTGGGCAAATATTTTGACACAAAAATGCCCGTCCACAGAGACAGACATAAAATTAAAGAATGACAGGCGTCAAGACGAAAATAAATTCTATGACAATTTTTAATGGGAACTTTGAACTAAAGGAAATATTTAAAGAACAATTTTAAATGGAACTGAATTTTTATTTCTTTATTTTTTTTTTAATTTATTACTGCAGATTCCTTAGTTAATCTTTATTTGAGAATAATATTCTTCAAACAAAATATCTGTGATTTATGTTGATTTTGTATCGTTTATTTTTGCCGCCTCTGCCATTATTTTTTATAGCAAAAAAAAGGAATGCATAAATCCCATACGTTTTGTAAACAGAATCATTAAAGACAGTGTGACTCCCCGTAATATATGTATAAGTCTATATGCAAACATCTATAAATCTGGAAAAATACATGTAAAGGCGGATCATAAATTATGAACGCAATTATAAAGCGCCCCTGGTGTCTCTCCTCTTCTTGGCATTCATTTTGCAACACAGTTCTCGATGATGACAGTTCCAGTTCCAGTTCTTTGGAGCGCCTCGATGGCAGGGTCCGACTCCGACCCAGTGAGAGGTTATCAAAATGCAATAAATCAGTTTGTTTTTTATATATACATATATTTTATAGCGTGACAACACCCAAACGGACAGATGAACAACGGAGAGAGAGAGAGAGTCTTAATGTCTGTTAAACATGAGAAAAAATGCGCCTTACTTGGTGTAAAATCAACGCAGATTTATTTTCATTTGTTTAAGCAAGAAAAATTGAAATTACAAGGGATAGCAAGACAGAAGACAGAACCATCAACGATTGTAAATCTTCTCAACAGAGACAACGATGTATATTTGTGTTTGCCTCTTTCTCGCTCTCTGGGGGCCACCGAGTGTTGGAAAACAAATAAAGTCACTGCGTGTTACACTTGATAAACACCGGGAAAAGGCACAGAACTCTCCATATCATATCGCACGAAGAGCGTTGAATGCTCGTCAAATATTTGCACAGTTTTTTCAGCAGATGAGAAAAAAAGGGGGTTACTTTACGGGTTTCGAAAGTGGCCAAGTGGTTTCCTGTGATTACGATGAGTACTCGTATTTGCTCAGAACCAGTAGCAGCATAATCCCCGGTATTTACACCTTCCATACAACACAATACACACACACACACACACACCAGATGATGATGATTATGATGACAGATGATGTGTGCAATGTTGTAAATCTATTCTATAATATATGGTACGTACTTTCAACTCACG